AAAAAATTGGAAATAACCTAAATGTCCATTAATAAACGGATGAATAAATAAATTGTGCTATATTCATACTATGGAATATATACAGAAGTGAAAATAAATTACAGCCACATGCCTCAACATGGATGAACTCCAAAAGTGTTAAATTTAGTGAAATAAGTATCTTATAGAAGGATATACATCTACATACTCATACTTGCATAAAGAATCTCATTAAATCTAAATTTCAAAACATGTCTTAATCATTATGCATTGTATATAGACATCAAAATATCACATGTACTCCCAAAATATGTACAACCATAATATACCAATTAAAAATTACATTAAAAAGCATGTAAAACTAATCAATATATTATCTAAAGATACAAATATATGTTTAAACTATCACAAAAGAAGGACAATTAAGCACATGAAAAGATGGTCAATATCATTAGTCACTAGGGAAATGTAAATCTAAACCACGAAGAGATACCACTTCATACCTACCAGGATGGCTATAATCAAAAAGACAGACAATACCAAGAGTTGGTAAGGATATGGATAAATTGGAACCCTCATACACTTCTGGTGGGAATGTAAAATGGTACAGTCACTTTGGAAAACAACCTGAAAAAGTGGAAAGCACTTTGGAAAATAGTTATTCAAAAGTTTAAATGTAGAGTTAACATACGATCCAGCAATTCCATGCCTAGTTACTGAATCACTGAAAAGAGAAATACCAAGAGAACTGAAAATAGAAAACCACACAAAATGTGCACATGAATATTCATAATGACATTATTCATAATAGTCAAAAACTGCAAACAACCTAAACATTCATGAACAGATAAATGGATAAATAAAATGTGGCACATCCATGCAATGGGATATTATTCAGCACCAAAAAGGACTGAAGTATTGATACAAGCCACAGCATGGATGAGCCTTGAAAACATTGTGCTAAGCGAACAAGCCAGACACAAAAGACCACATATTGTATGATTTCATTTCTATGAAATGCTCCAAATAGCCAAATCTAAGCAGAAATAAAGTTGATTGGTGATTGCCCAGGATGGGAGCAGGGGAAAGGGGAGAATGAGGGTAACTGCTAAAGAGTACAGTATTTCTTTGGGGGATGATGAAAATGTTCTAAAATTTATTGTGACGCTGGTTGCACAACACTATGTATGGACTAAAAGCCATCAATTATATACATCGTAAATGGGTACATTGTATGACATGTGGATTATATCTCAAAAAAGCTGTTACAGAAAAGAAAATAAGGGCATGACAGTATAAACACAAAATTCAGGATAATGGTTCCCGTTGAGAGGGAAAGAAGTGGATGGAATTAGGGAAGGACCCATAGGACATTTCATAGTAAGATGCTTTTTATTAAACTAGATGATGGGTACATACATGTATGCTGTATCATAATTCTTAATATCATAGATATTTAAAATATTTATTGGCCAAGAAGTATATGAAGAAGTTTAACCCCTCTAATATTGATAAGACAACAATCACACTGTTATTTTTAAACCTATGAAATCACTTAGGGTTGGCATCCATGTGGTGAAACACACGCTCTTACACACTGCTGGCAAGGGCGTGTTGCACACTGGTAGAACTTTTCTGGGGCACAAATTTCACAATTTGTATCATGAGCCTTAAAATGTGTATCCTCTTTCACCTAGTATTTCTCTTTCTAGGGAGGTATCCCTCTGCCCTGAGTCTGGTTTGGCCCCATGACTTGCTCTGACAAACAGAATGAAGCAGAAGTGATACATCGGGACTTCCAGGCCTAGGCCTTAAGGATATTGTCTGGTAATTTCCATTCTTTCCCTCTTGGAAGCCAGCCACTGTACCATAAAGCAGCTCAGTCTATGCTGTGGAGTGATAAAAAGGCCACATGCAGAGAGGCCCAGGAGAAGAAGGGACTGTCTTGGATGGGGCAGCCCCAGCCACACTCCCAGCTGAATCCAGCAGCCACACGAATGACCTCAGCTATGCCACATGGAACAGAACTTCCCAGCTGAGCCTAGTTAGTCCACAGAACAGTAAGAAATAAATCACTGTTGTTGTTTTCAGCTACTAAGTATGGGGTGGTTTATGATGCAACCACAGAGCTAAAACAATATCCTGAAGAAATAATTAGAGGTGTGAACAAACATTTATGCACAAAGCTATTTGCATAAGTATTATTTGCAATAGCAAAAGAATTAGAATAAATCTAAAGGCTGGAGATGGACTTCTGTTGTTTCTTTGGCTACTCAGCATCCATTTGCTTTTGTAACAGAATCCAGAATTTCCTTTATGAAAACCTCCCTCCTCATTTTCAATCCGCGTGGTTCCAGTGAGGTTTCTCTCTATACGAGGAGTGGACATGTGACTCAGACTTGGCACCAGTCCCCTTGGGACTGGTTCAAGGATAGGGTCACAACTCATGCAATGTGGTCATGATCAGAGTGAATCCAAGACTTTGCAGGAGCTACAGGAAAGTGCTCTTTCTTCTGAGATTGTTCATAGTCAGAATGATTGAAGAGGAGAGTGCCTAAGAGGCTGGGAATTCAGTGAACACTGCAGGAGGTAGAACTGAGAGATGAAGAGAACCAGGTCTAGATGATCTTTTTTAGCCCCTAGATCAAGTTAGACCCCAGACTTTTGAGTATATGAGCCAACAGGAGCCCTTCTTTGGCTTAAGCCAGTTAAGCTGGGTTTTCTGTCTCTTGCTACCAAGATTTCTGACCGACATTGAGTATAAGGCCTATCATTGTCAGGGAAAGTTTGTATGCAAAGAAACAGACTTTCAGCCAAACTAACTCCAAAAAAAGAAATTAAAGGAAGCAGAGAATCTTATGGGCTTCATGAGAAATAGAAAATAAACCAAACTGCAAATCTCTCCATTTCTCATAGTTGCTATTTTTAAAATGTGTCTACATCATTTCTTTCTGTTGTATAGTCAGCTTCCACTGTCCCCTTACCACAGAAAGTATCATCATAACCTCAGTATCCAGACTTTATATTATCTTTAAACTCAGTTCCATGTGTCTAACTGGCATGGTCTCAGTATTCCAATGCCAAATTTCCAAGCAAATGTACGTAGCTTTGGCCAAGTGTCTACTATGTCTAAAATCAGTGTTCATGACGTCTCTAAGAGTGGACTTTTCTGGAGCTGTCAGCTGCATAGTTTGTCTAAGAAAGATGTGGTCAAGGAGAAAACTATATGCATCCCTAGAACAACACAAGTTGAGAGAGGAATGAGGAACCAAATGGTGATGTACCATGTAATATTATACAGTTACCCAAATCATGTTTTCAAAAAGTGCAAATATCCTTCAACAAATGGTAGTGGGATTTCCACATGCAAAAGAATGGAGCTGGACCCTTACCTCACCCCATATAAAAAAGTTAACTCCAAATGGATCAAAGAGTTAGCTTATAATATTTAGATATTATACAAGAGCTAAAACCATAAAACTCTTAGAAGAAAACATGGGTGTAAATCTCCATAACCTTAAATTTGGCAATGGTTTCTTGGATATGACACCAAAATGACAAGCAACAAAAGAAAAAAATAGATAAATTGGACTTCGTAACATTAAAAAACTTTTGTGCAACAAAGGACACTATTATGAGAGTGAAAAGACAACCCATAGAATGGGAAAAAATATTTACAAATCATATATCTGATAAGGATTTAATATCCAGAATATATAAACAATTCCTACAATTCAATGACAAAAAGAAAAATAACCCAATTTTAAAATGGCAAAGGGCTTGAATAGACATTTCTCTAGAGAAGATATAATAGCCAACAAACACATGAAAAGATATTCAGTATCATTAGTGATTGGGGAAATGCAAATCAAAACCACAATGAGATATCACTTTATCTGTACCAGGATGACTATATACAAAAAAATAGAAAATAGCAAGTGTTGGAAGAATGTGGAGAAACTGGAACCCTTACATATTGCTAGTGGGAAAGTAAAATGGTGAAGTCATTGTAGAAAATAATTTGGCAATTCTTCAATAAGTTAAACATAGAATTACCAGATGATCCAGCGATTCCACTCCTAGATATATACCAAAAAGCATTGAAAACAGATGTTCAGACAAAAACTGGTATGCAAATATTCACCGCAGCAGTATTCACAATAGCCAAAAGGTGAAAATATCCCAAATGTCCATCAACTGATGAATGGATAGACAAAATGTGGTACATCCATACAATGGGATATTATTATTCAGCCTTAAAAATAGTGTACTGATACAGGGTACAACATATTAATATATGAACCTTGAAAACATTATGACAGCTCTACCCAGGCTAATTCAAGAGGCGCTAGATTGCCACCATTTCTTGTGGCTGAGTAGAACTCCATGGTATATATATACCACATTTTATTAATCCACTCTTGTATCGATGGGCACTGTACACATTTAAATGGCAAATTTTATGTTATGCATATTTTACCACAAAATAAGTGTTTGATATAAGGAACATATACATTTTTTAATGTAAAAAAGTCAAAATTTAAAAGCGAATGATTCTTCTCCTCTTTTAAATGTAAAGAGAGGAAAATGACAGGAAGCAAAATATTAACAGGTGATAATCATTTCTGGGTAGCAGCTTTTGGGTGATTTGCATTTTCTTTACACAATTTTATATTTTCCAAATTTCCCATTGTGATCATGCATTGACTTTATAAACAGAAAAAAAATATTCGAAACACATGAAAATAATTAAAGTCATTGTTGTAGACATTACTAATGCTCACCAATGTCAGGTCATCCTCTTTCTGAGCACTAAGAAGCATGTGCTTCTAGACCCCTGCCCGTGTGACTAGTTATAGACAATGGACGTGAGCAGAAGTCACACATGTCACTTTATTGGTTGTTCATTGCTGAGCAATGCAGCAAAGTAGCCAAAACAACAACAGTCATTACTTAGCTCACAAATAGACAGCTTGGGCTGGGTTCAGTGGAGACACCTCAGCTCTGCTGTATGTGCTCACCTTCGTAGCCTGAAGGCTGGGGACAGAATCACATGAGGGCTGGCTCTTTCTCATGTCTGGGAGCTGATGCTGGCTGGCTCCATATGCAGGCCCTCAGGGCTAATGCATACGGACTAGCCAGAGCAAGAGTGAGATCCTGTCTCTACAAAAAATAGAAAAATTAGTCAGGCATGTTGGCATGCACCTGTAGTCTCAGCTACTCAGGAGGCTGAAGCAGGAGGATCACTTGAACCTGGGAGTTTGAGGCTGCAGTGAGCTATAACTATGATGCCACTTCATTCTACCAGGGGCGACAGAGCAAGACTGTCTCAAAAAAAAAAGAAAAGAAAAAAAGAGTTTAAATGGTAAATTTTATGTCATGTATATTTTACTACAATCAAAAAAAATTAATGTTGTTCCCTTATTCCATCTTTATGTTCATTGTTCTCATCCACACACTCTGTGAGAGCTGGGGCCACGTGTTTCTGTCTCACCTCTGCATCTGGGGCCCCAGAGCAGGGTCTGACCCATTGCAGGCACTCAATATTTGCTAAATGAAAAAACGAATAGAAGCAAAAGTATATTAAAGGAGGGGGGCATATTAGAATAATTGAGATGAGTGGAAATGTCCAGAGTAAGTGTCTTCCCGATCTCTGAGCTTAACAATGTAGATCCAGGGAACACACCAACAGACCCTAACCCTATCCCTTTTCTTCTCTGGGCCAAGATTCCTCATCACAATCTCTCTTGAACTGGTGAGAACATATCTGATAATCTTTAAGCATGACTAACTCTTTATAGAGTCATGCTATTAACCTGATAAAGTGGTAGGAACCTAAATATTCAAAAGGAATCCATTTAAGCTGCCTAATTGCATTCATTAGAATTCTTTTAGCTAGAAGTAACAAAAAAACTCAAATCAAGATGGCTTAAACATTTAAGGTTCCGCTACATCCTCAGTCTGGCTCCCAGCTTTTTCCAACAGTTATGTAATAGATCAGTGGGGACATTAATTATTTCAGGATAGATGTGTCTGAAATATGACAGAGAGCCTTTGCCTGGCCAAAGTTGAGTCAGGCTCCTGGACCTTCTCTTAGGCCTATCTGTGTACTTCCTCCCATGTAAAATCCAGTTTTAGAAAAGAGCCCCCACTAAGGCAGTTCATCCAGAACCTGCCATCTTCGACATTTGATCATCCTTGTTATCGGATCAGGTTCCTCATCCTCCACTATCCCCCCGGTTAGGTCTGATCACCCTGGCCTGTCATCAGCCAGAACCTGCTAGGTCAAAGTAGCCAGAATCCCCTTCAGTCCTGATAATTCCTCTTAGTAATCTTCTCTCCACTTACCCCTATACTATTCCTTGGCTATAAATCCTTACTTGCTCATGCTGTATTCAGAGTTCAGCCCAGTATCTCGCCCCCACTGCACGACCCCACAGAAGTGGTCCCTACACCCGCCATGATGGCCCTGAATAACATCTTCCTTGTTGTGCTTTAACAAGTACCACTGAATAATCTTTTCTCCAACAAACGTAATCACCCCTACAGAAGTGGAGCAGCCTGAACCAAGAGTGTAATGAATTCACTCTTTGGGGCAGGAGTGATAACTCCTGACTATGCAGTCCTTTTCCTCCAGAACCCCTCTCCATTGGGGGAGCATGACTGCAGCGATTGGTGTGGAGATTGGTCAGCAGTGAGCACACTAGGGGCGTACCTTGGAATCAGCTTAAATCATAATGAAAAAGCAATAGCTTTCAACTGGGGGTAATTTTTGCCCCTCAGGGAACATTTGGGAATATCTAGAGATACTTTTTCTCAACTGGGGTGGGAGTTGGGTGGTAGTCCTACTGGAATGTAGTGAGTCAAGGCTAGGATGCTGCTAAACATCCTATGGTGCACAGGGCAGCATCCCCAAGCCCCCCCAACAGAATTACCTGGTCCAAAATGTCAATAATGACAAGGTTAAAAAGCCCTGTGATAGAATATCAGATTTATATATCCATAGTAAAAATTATTTCTAGAATCTGGAAGAGAAGAAATAGGCACCATGATAAAATGAACAACAAGAATCTTGGAGTTAGACCCCACAATTAACATTAGATTGACAGAAAGATCTTGTTTCCAAAGCAATTAGTTAAACATGCAAAAATACGTGATTTATTCAGAAGACAATGTCAAGCTGCTGATAAGGAAGGATGTTGGCTTGGCTTGTTAAAGTCTTAGAAGTTACGTCCCTGGGTGCCAGCATGGGCTCTTCCACTGACTAAGCAGTTGTGTTATTGTGAAGTCACTTAAAGACCAAAGGATGGATCACTGGTTTTCAAATACCTCCATGTAGCTCTGGAGGTGCCTCAGCGATTTTCTGGTAAGAATATGAGAGAAGCAATCCCCGTGTCCCCTTCCACTCTCCTGCACCTAATCGCCTGTGCTTTTTGCATTTGACACGAAATGAATTAATATATAAACAGCATAATTCAGATGTGCTAAATTACACACACACACACACACACGCACACACGCAGTGTTCCTTTATTTCTAGAACTGATCTCATTGTCCTTTCAGACATTCTTTCTTGTGGAAAGGGTTAAATCTTAAACTTGCTGATTAAAATTATCTCAGTATCTTCCTGTTTAAAACAGTCTCTTCCAAGTTGCCTTTGCCTAAAATTTTTGAACTCCTCTTTGCCTAAAATTTTTGACCTGTAGGGTTTGTTTGTTTTTCAGTAAATGATAGATTACCTTCTTCAAATAATATAGGAGCCCAATACAGACATAATGGGGGTCATTAAAAAAAATAGCAAACATCTAGTCAAATGCAAGGACCCAACGTGGCTGTTTCTCTCCTCTCCAAGACAGCATCTAGGAGAGGAAAACAGCAAGGTCACCAGGCAGGAGGAAGCCAGCCGGTCCAAGTACAGGTCTTTGTGCCATCCTCTGCAAACACCTGGCTCCTTGTCTCCACTGGTCACTCAATGACTTACTGTCATCCACAGCTAGAAAATTTGTGTTCTGTTCTCTTTGGCACTCCTGGGCCCAGGTGGTTCCCTGACTCCCTCCTCTACCACAAACTAACTCTGTTTAGGACTCTTCAATATTGGGAGTCCAGCAAGGCTCCCATCTTTCTATTCAACCTCTGAGAAGGCCAAATGGAGGCCGTGGTTTGAGCCAGATCAATGCTCCCTTTTTCATCCCATTTCTTAATAACCATTTGAAGATTTCCACTTTGCTTGCACGAATGCCCTAATTTGCCCCCTTTTCTTTCCCCTTGTTTTACCCACCTATTACAAATCATTTTCATCTTCTTCGTTACCTGTTGTTTCAGCATAACTTTTTCTTTTGGTAGGGGCCCCGAGGCTAGCAGCTGTAGCTTATATGAGAAGGGGTGCAGGCCTAGCATTAGGGTCCACCCAATATTTTCTTTCACTTTTATTTTAACTACTTTCATTGGTGGGGGCCCTATAGGCTAACAGCTGCAGCTCAAAGCAGCCAGATCCAAACTTGGTCCCGTGTCAGGATCCACCCCAACATTCTCCGTTACTTGCATTTTAGCTGTGACAGATAACAATAACCAAGGGATTGCATAGTTCATTTTTTTCTTGTTATTCTGCATTCACTTATGCATCCAGTGCGACAACTCCCTGGGAGTTGGGTCCATCATTTAAAAATTCGATGGGTAAATTTTACCTCCAGTAACTAATCACAACACAGCTGCAGCTTCATATCATGGGGGACTCTGTCACCACCCAGAAACCAAAAGTTCATTAACACCTTTTCATCCTTCTTCTTCCAAAACCACATGCTCTCCTAGCAAGTCAAGTTTGGTCCAGTGGATCCCACTTCTGACACCAACTGTGATAATCTGGGGTCAATTACAAGATTACTGAGCACAATACCCACAAGACTGCCCTCACATCTAGCAACAAATGCAAGTTTGGGGGGTTCTCATATCACCTGCAGGTTTTATAATTTGCTAAAATAACTCACAGAATTCAAAGCTGAAAGTTATTACATGTAGTGATTGTTACTGTGTATTACTGTGGAAAGGATACAGATTCAAAACAGTAAAGGGAAGAGACATAGGGCATAGTCTGAGAGGGTTTCAACCATGAGGCTTCTGTTTTCCCCTTCCTGTGGAGTCAGCATGTGTACACTCTTAGCACTGATGTGTGACAATATGCACAGAGTATTGCTAATCAGAGAAGCCCACCTGAGCTTCAGTGTCCAGAGTTTATAATGGGGTTTCATTAAGTATGCATGATTGACTGATGGCCCACATAGTTGAACTCAGTTGAACTCAGTCTCTAGGTTGACTGATACCATGTGACCCAAAGCCCCCACTTTGAATCACATGGTTGATATTTCTAACATGGCAAGTCCCTGCCCTAAATCACTTGGTTGGTCTTTCTGATGTAGCCAACCTCACCCTAAGATCCACCGTGGCCAGCTGCCACTACCCTAAACAAGGACACTTCTATCAGGTATGACATAGATTACCTCCCAGAAGCTTAGGGCAAAAGCTAGATCTCTTTTTGGGCAAGGCCAGATTCTTCACTACACAGACCTGTACCACATATCATATAGAAAAATTGACTCAAAATAGATCATAGACCTACATTTAAGAGCTAAAACTATAAAACGCTTAACATAAAACACAGGTGTAAATTTTCATGAACTTGCATTAGGCAGGTTTGTTAGACATGCCATCAAAAGTGCAAGTGACAAAAGTGAAATAGGTAAATGAGAATTCACCAAATTTACAGTGTTTATGTTTCAAAGGACACCATCAAGAAAATGAAAATACAACCTAAGGGAGATAGTATTTGCACTATTATTTTGTAAATGCTCATAACAAATTTTTTAAATTTTATCTTTGTTGGTTTAACTACATTAACTACAAAATTAATATTTTCTCATTGCAAAATATTATACTTTCAGGAGTTTATAACACACAAAAGAGAAACCCAATAGCAACTTCCCACAAGAAAACTACTCTTAACAATTTGGGGCATATGCCTATAGGGCTATTTCTCTGAATATTAAACTTTTACCAAAAGATGTGTATTTTAGACACTGTTTTACAACTAGTTTTTTTCCATTAAAATATATCAAGGCCACATTCTTGGGTCAGTAAATTTAACTCTACTTCTTTTTAAATCTGTTTGC